AGAGCGAAGGGGACGGGAGAACAAACGAGGCACCGGGTAACCCCGGGTCACCTGGTGAATACCGTTTTACCGACTATTAACTCACTTCCAACCCCTCTCGAGGCCGAAAGTCCCTTGGGATCTCTTCCTCGTTTTCTCTCTTTTTTGTGTTATTCCCTCCTCCTCCTATTTCTTCCGTACCGACCCTCGCCACTCGCAGTTTTCCCCTTATTATTGCTTCTTTCCGCCACTTTTTCGCTCCCCTCTTGGCGTAATCCGCCCGTTTTTTTTTTTCCCCCTCTTTTCCTTTCTCTCGTCATCCTCGAAGCTAGACGCAGGTAGGACCATCGACGGGGTACCTGCGCCCCCCAAGGGGCACGGCGACGGAGAATCGGGGAAGATCGGGGGAATCGCTCTCCACGCTCGATTTAACCTGTGAGAAAAATCCCGACCCGGCTCGGGTTAACCGATTTCCCTGCGAAATTCCGACCCCGACCTCCGACACCCCGGGGACGTTTAGGTCTAAGTAGCTCGTCAAAGTTCCTTCCTTCTTCCTTCGCGGATCTTGAGCGACACTACTCGTCGAGGTTTAGACCCAGAGGGGCGTGCATGGGTACCGGTTGTAGGCGAGAATTCCGGTAATTTCTTCCCCAGGAGATCGATCGTCTCCCTGCCCTCGAAGGGAGAGGGCGACGAGGGCCGAAGTTCGGGAACGGGCGCTTTGAAAAATCGTGACTCGTACGCGACCGGTGATCGTTATTAATGGAGCCTCGGGGAACGATTTCGGCGCACCCTCGGGACGAGGAACACGGCTACGGGAATTAAGGAGTCCCGCGGCCCGGGCCCTGGGATTCCGGGATAGTGATCGAGATGGTCCGCGGACTCGGGGATGAAAAAGATCCCTCGAAACGAGAGAAACACAGAACCCCCGCGGCGGCGGGACGTCTCGTAGCGGGGCCTTAAAAATCGACTCGATTTAAGGACCTCGAGGTCGTTACCGAGTGCCCGCCGAGCGCACCGTGAATCCCCTGCAAGCCGCGCCGACTCTTCTTAATTTCCACCATTTTGCATGGATTTCACCCTCGACCACCCCCGGGTGGTAGGAGCGATCCTTCGTTCCTCGTCGGCTACTCGAGGTCCGATTGACTTTCGATCGTCGTTCCCGACGCGAGGACCTTGACATCCTTAACCGCGAAATGAGCGTTTGCGACATCATATACAGAAGTCGAGTGTTTATGCAGAAATGACCCATACGAGGAAGGCGCTAGAATTTCATCGGCGTCCGAAGCAGAAGGAAGCCGCGCGTGAATCCGCTTCGCGGAATGCCGCTTCAGCGGGTTTTAATCGACACCGCGGATTTTCCGTAGCACCGGTTACAGACCGACGTATGTAGGAGCTTCGGTAGTGCCGAATTCTCTCCATTTCCCTTTTTCCTAGCTTTGCGATTAATTCGGGGGGAATTATTACTCCGATCTTTCGTGGAATAACCGCGATCCGTTTTACCCGGACGCGGGAGAGAGCGCGAGTAAGTCGCCATGTGCTTTGTGTACCGATCGGCTGCGTTGGACGTATTTCACCTGCCGATTACCCGCACGGGACACTTTTTCCCCGCGACTTGGCCGCGCGGAAAAACCGCCGAGATTATTCACGCTCTTCCACCGCGCTCTCGAAGCGATTTGCCCGCGCGGAGAAAGCGCCGCGCAAACGATCCGCCTCGTGGAGCGCGGACCGACGATCATTTTTATTTTCTACCCTCGACTTTTCCATGGCTTTTACTATCGACCGCGCGTATTCCGCAGCCGAATCGCAATCCCTTAACGATTCTTCCAAAATAATCTAGAAACCCCCTCGTGTGTTGGGGTGATCTTTATTTACACATTTTTTCTTTCTACCTAAAGTTCTCATAAAAAAGACCTCTTCGACCGTCTTTGGGGGGAAGAGATCGCTTAGGAAACGCATGGAGGAACAAATTTCTCTCCCCCTTTTTTCGGAGGTTTATTTTTTGAGCGACGAGTGACGGGGATAAAAAAGGAGGCCGGAAAGGAAAAATCCAAGGGGTTGCGTAATTTCGGGCAACGTCATCGATCCGCGGGGCAAAACTCCCCTGCGGGGGTCTTGGAATACCCGAGGGTCCCTTAAGCCTTCTTCCCCCGTTCTTTTTTTTTTTTCTCTTGGAAATTTTGGGTCGAATCATTTTTTCCTCCGTCCCTTTTCAATGCCGGGTGGAAAAAGGGCGAGCCAGGTAACGATTCCGGGGTTTAACGTTCTCATGGAAGGACTTACGTAGAATTCAAATATCTCTACCTGAACCTCCTGTCCCGGAGGAGAGGGGCATTAAAGACGTACGATTTGCCCTTCCGTCCTCTTTCTCTCTTTTTAACGCGCATCCCCTCTGGAGGACCTCCGGCTACTGCCAAAAATGTGTAGGTTTATCGCGAGCGTCAACGCGTCAGGAGAGAACCGGTCTCCCTTCAACGGTTTTGCATCGGGTTCGAGTTTCGAGGCTTTTTTCAAATTGTTCCCCCCTCGAAAATCCTTCGGATCCTTTTCGGCGGGTTCCTCATTCAAATTTATGCGTAACGCTCGCGCAGACCTAGGCGGCTGTTGAGATTTGTTTAAATCTACCCCCCGAAGTCGGCCGCGAATTTACGTGTAGGAACGCTTGAAAGGGAGGCACCTGTCGGCGGGCCATTATTAGACTTTTACAAGCTTTGGGACGTCTCAATTTCACGATTTCTTCCCCAAAACGGGGTCCCCATTGGGAATGGACTGTTTTTTGCGCCTCGTGACCCCAATTTCAGTTTCCTTTCATTTGGTCCCCCTGACTCTCGACGCTGCTAATGGTGCAGAATCCGTCCTCGAAATACCCCGAGACGTCTCGCACCATGCGGGGTAGTGATTTACCCAGATCTTAGAAAAAAAAAAGAAAAAAAAAACACCGAGCCGAAATCGGTGTTGTCCCTTCGAGAAAGAGCCAGGGGTGCAAATCCAAAGTCAACGGAAGGGGTGTTCCCGATAAGTCTCGCTTCCGGGGAAGAAAAAAGTATCGTGTACTTCGTAAGGAACGGAAAATACCCCCGAAGGAGGGAACATCGTGCACTTGCGAGAACCGAGTGTCAATCTCGAGATCAATCCCGATTCCAAAGACCTGTACCGTGTCCCCAGGGTTGGGTAAGTATAATACCTCATGTAATACACCCGTTTTTCTACACGTATATTACAACGTGTAATACGTCTCTAGTTTTCTACGCGAGCGCAATGTATTTAACGCTCTTCCATTTCTAAATAGAAAATCATAAATCCAATTAAAAATGTGATGTTACCCAGTTAATACGTTTATAATCTAACTGATGCCGCATATCGCACATCTGCGGCGTCCTTCATATTGGAAACGTAATTTACTGGCTTTCTACGATCTCCTACGATTTTCTACGGTAAACTACGTGGTTTACGTGATGTACGTGAGAAACCACGCAAAACGGAAATTACCCAACCCTGGGTGTCCCCAAAAGGTGCGACGAAATCGCACGTAGTACGTCTCGAATTTATCTATTAGAACAATGGGATTGGCGGGCGGAGTAAAAACGTCAATTTGCAAACCAACGAACGAGGGTACGTCTCGACGTCGCGCGACGCCGTCCGCGGCAAACTCGATCGTTAACGCCGAGAATTATTCGCCTCGACGAATCGCCACCGAGAGATATACGAGTCCACGTACTGGCCATCGGAAAGTTCTGGCAGGCGATTCGCATAAAGTGCGATGATTTAGAGTCCCGTGATCGACGTCTATTGTCGTCACATGTGAATTTCCAACGTAGCCTCGACCCGCTCGTCACCACTCTTCGCGCGTCTCGACGCGAGTGGACCCGGGTCGAAGTTTTCTCGAAATAAAACCTCTCGACATATCTAACGATCGTTTCTTTTTTTTTTCGCCAAGATCTCTTGGCGCGCTCCTCTCTTAATTTATACTCGGCATGGACTCGAGCCTAAGGCTTCTTCGAATTCCAATTTGAGGTGGATCGAAAAGGGCAGACGCGGGATGAATGAAATTATCTCCCAAGGGGCAGATTCACAGATAACGCGAACAATGGCCGTATAAATGTACATGTTAGTTGGTACGTAGATCGTTACACCGGTTACTTAGGTCTTTGCGCATCGCGAGGATATTTTCATCGAAGCCTTTCATAGGAATTCCCTGAATCTTGTGCCTCTAAGATGATACGAAAGACGCTGAGAAATTTAATCGACGTCGATAAATTAAAATTCATCTGTACTCTTTTTCGGGGTAGCGTCATTTGGAATACTCAAGCGGGAACACAAGCTGGCGCGTCACTTTAGCGACATTTATATTTATGTTTAAGTCTTTTACAGAGTACGTTGATAATTATACGAACTGAAGCGTTCCATATGTTATTTCGGAGAAGTAATGACGAAGAGGTCGGTGTAAAACTGTCGAAATCCCGTCAATTCATTATTCTAACGACTGTTTAAGACCAACGTCGCCATCTGTGACGTTTAGCTGGAACTAAATTTTTCCTCTAAAAACACGCATTAGCCCCGAGACAAGCCGGCATTCTCTCGCAATCGTTGGTGAAAGTACTTTCCATATTTTCCTATCTCACTCTGTAATATTCCATTTCTACGGTATTCTAAATTGTTCGAGTTAAGTCCAGAAACATTTCATTTTAGATTCCAAGCCTCCAAGAAGCGTAAAACAGCGAAAATGTGCCCGGACCACACCGCGTTGGTTCCAGTCCATGATAAATAAATAAATTTTTCATACAAAATGAAATTAGATGAGGTTTACAGCCTACTATATAGCCTCCATAATCAGGTGGAAAGATTTGCAAGGAATCGGTACACCCAATTATGAGAATACTTTCCCCAACGATTTGACTTCTCATATAGATATAGGCTGACTCTTTTATATCAGCTTAATCTAGGATAGTCAAATCGTTTAAATCCACCTTTTGGAAGGTAGAAGCGAGTAAACCAAGACGGATGAATTTTTGGTGTTTCAGGTAAAGCGAACGACGCCTCGTCCATGGCCCCGGGGAGCCCACCAACGCCACCTCACACACCTCAGAGTCCACCGAGGCAGATCCCGCCGTCTGGGAACCTCTCTCAGTCGTGCCAAACCTCCAATTCGGGCTCTCCCAGTCTTCCCAACCCCCTGCAGGCGATGCCAAGTTCACCCCTAAGTCAGATCCTGGTGCAAAACCCAGCCTTGGCTCAGCTACTCCAGCAGAACCCGGCGATTCTCAACCAAAACCCTCAGCTGGCCCAGCTGCTGCAGCAAAACCTCCAGGTCCAGATGGGCAACGTCCTCTTTCAGGGCGTCCGAAGAGAGGAGCACGAAGAAGTTAAGGTACTTCCCTCGTTATTTTTCACCGTGTTACTTAACCCATTTGCATCACAACTAAGTATGAAAAAGAGGGTCCTTATCAGGAAATTTTAGGCCGGATGATAGTGACCAGTAAAATTGAGCGTGTTCATATACGCTCCGGTGATAGTGACCAGGAAAACTGAGTGTCCATACACGCTAATGATGGAAATGGGTTAACGTCGATTCGACATTTATCAAAATTCCGCGGAACAAGGAGCGCCGTCTCCGCGGTGAAACGCTTTGACATTTGGGGGGAGCGACTCGCCTTGTTGGATCTCGCGGAGACCCGCGGAGAGGACGAGGCCTAGCGCGGAACGATCGATCCCGCGAACCCGGCATTTCCTCGAAGGTCCCATTGTTTCAGCGTTAATCGTTCATAGCGAATGAAAATTTAACAGCCGTCGGTCAATCCGCCAGCCGAGCGCGCTCGTTTCGATCGGCCGCTCGGGGATCTTTAACGTTCTCCAATTTTCCCCGGAATTGGCGAGACCGAGCCGTCGCGATACGTCCCACCCGGAGTGGAGTTTTTCTCGAGCGCGGACTCTGGAGCTCTGATTAAAACCCAAGCTAACGACCGTTATCAACCGGGGAACGAAGTTGACCAGGCGAATCGCAACCGCGAGGCGAATCGACGATCGCTACGTGGAAGAACCACACTCGGGGATCCTCTCGGTCGGGATTTTCGGTGATCGGCGGCTCGTTTTCGCTAAGGGTCGACGTCGAGTCCTGGTCAATTGGCCCGTTCCTTCGCGGACCAATGCCGCGCCATGTCGAGTTAGCGCCGATCAGGCGCTCGTCAGAAATCCAACATGGCGAGGCGTCCGCGAAATCGCGGACGGTCGTCCACGGGCGATCGAACCGAGTCCCTCTTGGAATTCGGCTCGGAGAAGTTTAGGATCGCAGTCGAGCCCCCTACGGGAAGAATCGAAATTATTCCCCGGGGATTTTTCTCGCGTCGTTTACATTATTTTTGTGCGTCAGAAATCCAACATGGCGAGGCGTCCGCGAAATCGCGGACGGCCGTCCACGGGCGATCGAACCGAGTCCCTCTTGGAATTCGGCTCGGAGGAGTTTAGGATCGCAGTCGAGCCCCCTACGGGAAGAATCGAAATTATTCCCCGGGGATTTTTCTCGCGTCGTTTACATTATTTTTGCGCCTTTGAATATTAATGGGCATATGCTCTCCGGCGTTATGGCACAAGAAGTAACAACGGCGTATAATACACGACTCTTAACGTTATTCTATTGTTTGCAAATCAGCTCTATTGTTTTCTCATATACCTCGGTACCCTTCCCGGCCCCCCGCGCGCACTCGCCCCACCCACGAGCGCATCCCCCCGGCCTCTTGTCATCTCTCTAACCCCCCTACGCGCGTTTACCTCCTCTCTTTCTCTCTCTCCTTTCCTCGGTCGGTCGTCCCCCTTCCTCCCGCACGCACCCGGTACGCATCACGGGACAAGGGCCGTCGTTTATGCGCTCGTGCGCTTTTGCTCTTGCATTCGATCTCTGACGTTGAATCGACGACCGCGTCACCCGATCGTTAATGTCCTCGAGAGCGTCGTCGCATCAAATAGCCGACATAAAACGACAATGTCCCTCGGTCTCTCTCGCGTTCGCCGACGCGCCGCGTAGGCACGCACGACCGTGGGATTCGAACGCGGTCGCGGGATTTTCGAGGAGATTCGCGCATAACGAGCCGCCCGCCAGAAACGTAAACGTAACGGAGGCGAATCAGAGAAGGCGAAGGCGAAGCTATTTTAAATTCAGAATCGTCGTCGTATCGAATGCTAAGCTAAGGCTTCGGAAATCGTAGAGTATTCGTATAATTTGAGCCATCGCGGGGCTTCCGCTCGGGGTTGCGGGCTCCTCGAGTCTTTCCTCATTTGCCTAACCTCGGCGTACCCGGCCGCCATCTTGCTCCTCGCGATGATCTCTTTGTTCCGCGAAAGCCCCGCGATTCGCGGTGCTATCTCCCCGTGGCGATCCCTCGTAAAAGCCTTTTAGCGGAGTTATTCTAATTGCGGGCATTTCTTTTTTCCGCATTTTAATCCCCGAGCGAGCCCTGCCGGAAATTCATTTGAATTCGAAGCCATTGTACCCGTGCGACGGGCAAGGTCACCGATCCGGTCAGATGTCCTCGCCGATTCCTCGAGTTCTCGGGGATATACGAGGGACGACAGGGTCGTCGTTTCCTGCGGGATTCGCCGACCTTCCTCGTCGTCGGCGGATAGACAGAAGTCGAGCTCAAACGGTCCGACCAGGTCGCAACTAGTACCGCGACGTTCGGGAATGGAGTTAGTACCCGCGTACAAGAGGGCCTACGCGTTTTTCGCTCGAACCGTAATAGTCTAAACTAGCGTGGGAACGTCGAGGGGTCTCGACGCGCCTTCCTGGCGTGTCGTTTCGGGAGCCTTTGACCCCTCTACGACTGTTAACGTCTCCTCGATTGTTCATGCTCGTCCACGCGGCTGCCCGTATCCCCGGATCCGGAAAGAACGCACCCCCGGCCTAATCCGCGGAGTCGTCTCCCTCTACATGGCTCGTGTGTCTTTCAGGTGCCGCCGACGATAGCTAGCCTGGCGGCGATGACGGTGGAGGCGGCTGACCCGAAGGTTTCCGGTGAGTGGGCCATTACCTTCTCTATAGAATTAAGATTGAAATGAGATTTAAATGAAATTTAAGTATCGCGCCGCCGCCGACCTTTCGCTCGGCCGAGGTGTAGGGGGCGCTCGCTCGCTCGTTCGTCCGAGGAGCGCGCCGAGCCGTCTCTCCCGGCTTTCATGAGTTTCGGACCCGGGGGCTCTTCCCCCCTTTATATTGAAATATCCGCCCACAGCATTATGGGAATTATCAAGGAAATGGGAGATGAGTGCGCCGGCGGAAGGAGTGGGGGTGCCGTTGGATGACGAGCGTCGTCCGCGTCGCGTCCTCTCGGGGAGGAAGAGCCAAGTTTCGCGGTTGCTATCCTTCCTCCGCCCGCTTCCCTTTAGACGTTGATCCGCGCGTTCCAATCGAGGACGTCGCGATTCGTCGACGGCCGCTGCAAACCCACGGTCCGTCGACGCGTTTTAGCCTTAAGTGCTCGGTTAGCATGCATTTTTTTTTTTTTTATAAAGTTGTCATATACTATCGTCATAACCACATCCCATACACCTATCATGGTGGTTGCTAGGATCTACACACACCCCCCTAACGCCTTATGTTTACGGCAAGCCAGGGCAGGACGGTAACGCGGCACGTCCACCCTATCCTCCCTGTCCTTGCCACATAATCGACAATCGGTTCGATTAGCTTGTCCAAATTTGTACCGCTGTCTAATGGCGCCCAACGGAATCGAAATTCGACCTCGGTTGACTTCCGGTGCAGGTACCCGCCGAACGGAAGGTGTAAACAGAGTGACAGAGAATGCGTTACAAAATAATGTGACTAGAACTTTTAACCCATTCCCAGCCTCAAGACACATTCATGTCAAGAGTTCATCAGCTTCCTTGCCTATCGGCAGCTAGTAGCATTTCTTCAGTCGTCTTCGTGTATCCGCTATAGAGTTCCTGATTTCTCGCTTTCCTTCTGCAAAGGGAATCCCTTCGACCAGTCCAGCTGGTGCCTCTTGGGGTCCCATCGAGGTTTTTTATACTCACCGATACAGAAGTTGAGTACGATACGATCTCCCGGAAGTCCTCCGAATAAAGGTGTTTTGTGGTGACCGCTTCTATTTCGTCCTGGATGATCTAAAATCACAAATTGAAAGATACATGCATCCATTACGTTAGTTAATTTAGTCTTTACACGAATGACTCTCAGAATATTTATTTGGAACGGAACGGTGGACGGCTGAAGGTAAAGCTTTTGACGAAACATAATCTCATTTTTGGCGAATCAAAAGTATATGCAACGGAGAAATCCTTCACTCTGTGAACTCTGAATATTTTTCTCCACGAGCGGGTAGGAATTGAGGGCGAAAGACGTGTCGTTAGGGACAAGGGAGGTAGTGGGTCGCAGTGGAAAAAGCTCCTGGTCCTGAGAACTCAGCCGTCGACGCCGGCCGTCCTCGGCACCGTTCCTAAGGGCCTCCCCGATTTAGTTTGGCAAAGATGGCGGCAAAAGATCGAACTACCTCGTAATGAAATAAAACCCGGAGTGCCGAGGTCCGCAGCGGGAGAGCGGAGACGAGGGAAAGAGCGAGAGAGAGAAAGAGAGAGGCCAGCAATCAAAGCTGATTAAGCCCACAACTGGGGAATCTGTGGGGCCAGTGTCTCACGCCAATCCCGGCCAATCAACAGCCGTGCCCGGGGAGATTTAAAAAATAGAATGCCTACTGTCAATTGTCCCATAATTTAAATAAATCGAATAAATGGACAAAGTGGCCAATTAGAGTAGTTGCTGGTTGCTGGTTTAACGTATTATTCTCTCTTTCTCGAGCTGGCACTCTCTCCGTCCCTCTCGTCCTCTCTTTCGCTCCGCCCTTCCCGTTCGGTCCTTTCTCTCGTCGGGTCCCTCGAGCCCCCCCCCGTTTACGCGCTCTCGCCGTCCCTTTTCCTCCGTCGTCGGCCGATTCCTCTTGCTTTCCTCCTCTTCCGATTTTTCCTTCTCCTTTCGCCGTGATTCCTCGGGTAAGACCGCGCGCGCGTACGCGTGCCGCCCTCTCGCGCCGGTGGCCACGCTCGGTTTGCTCGGAACGGCAGGCGCTTCCGTTAAACGGCGTTACCTACCGCTATCGGCGCGCGCGCGGTCGCGCGCACGCGCGCTAGGTGCGAACGGGAGGCCACCTGTGCGCCGGCGCGCCGCCACTTCCGCCCGGTCGAGGCCCGGAAGCGAGGACGCGCCCCGATCTCCACCTCGAGAGGGACGACGTCGCTTCGCGCGTTACACGGACCCGGTATTCCTGGCGGCGATAAGCCTCCGGCCTCGCCATCGGACGTTCCCTAATATGGCCGAGCCGATACGCGGTGACCTCGCGGTTCTCTCCGTCCTGCGCGGATTAACCGCAAGGTACGCAGCCACGAAGTCGCGGGGATCGAGGACCCTAGAACGGGTACCTCGATCCCTAATGGCTCCTACTTTCTCCGACGATGGCGAGGTTCACTTCCAAAGGTCGTCGTCGGACGTTGAAAAGACCTCGCGAATGACAAATCCCCGGGGAAAGGGAAAGGGTTTCGAGAATATACCGCAAAATTACGAGTACATCCAACGCGGTACCTAGGGCCCAAGCCGAGCGCATTTAAGGCGAAGTGAAACACCCCGAAGGAGTTGATCGACGTCGGTAAGGACTTTTCTAAATACCCTACGTTGCCGGCGTTCCTTTTTATATTGACAGTCGTGTCGAATCATATTGGGTATTGCACTAAATTTCGTACTCTATCTGTCGTTTCCGTACGATAATGATAAAGAAATCTAATTGAAACTCCAGAAATCACCTGGATTCATGGTTTCTGAGGCCCTAATTGACTGCAGAGGGACCCCCTGCGCCATCTGTGATTTCCATGCCAACTAAATTTTCGCTTTCACACAAATTTTCAAAAGTGTCGGGATAAATCCTAGGTGCTCGCGGGTCATGTGTTAATGTTTTTGTCAAGGCTTGATGCAATACCCTTAAAAAAAAATGTCTCATTCGGATCGACTGATTTCGGGGGGGAGTTTCACTTCACCTTAACACCGAGCTTCTTACGCATTAGCATTCACAAGGTGGAGTTTCACCACGGCGAGCCGTCCCCGCGAGGTAAGTCGGCGAGTCCGCCTCTACCGCCGAAGATTAGCTCAGGAACGCAGATAAGGAAGCAAGGTGCGCGGCCTCGTGGGTTGGCAGCGCGAGAGGCACGGCTAAGGCTGGGCAAATAACAAATAAAGCATAAACGGGAGCTAGAATAAATAACCGGGGCACGCTGCGAGAGTCAGCCGGAGGCGAGCGCGCGGAGGAGCCGCACCAGAAGGGCCGCGCTCCTTCGAAAGGTCTCCTGTGCACCCACGAGCGGCCTTCCCGCGGTTTCCGTGTCGCCGAGAGCACCTTCCCCAGATCCTCGTTCCGTTTAGAATAAACGCCCCGAGAAGGTTCGGAAGCGCGGAATAATGGGAAAAAAGCGGTTCCTCCAGTGGACCTGGTGGATCCGATAGAGCCCCCAGGAGCGCGGGGACGCTGCCGTCGAGGTGGAGCGGCGCCGCCCGGAGGGCTCGTAAGAAGAGGAGCGTCTCGGTAGTCGGGCCGAATTCGCGTTCCTGCGGTAAAAAGTGGGTATCGAGGGGGGCCGAGGGAGGCGGCGGATAGGAAACGTTATATCAGAGATTTATCGCGGGTCCTCCGGTGACCCTGGGCGCCCGGGCGGCATCTCGCACCGGCCTAATTTATATCGCTGCCCGAGTTTTTACTAATTTCGCCCGGTGGAGAGTCGCTTGGGGGCCACCGGGCAAAAGCACCGGCGTAGCGAGGAACGCGCCTCGACATCCGCCGAATGCGCCCCGCGAAACCCCACGTCGGGCCTCCCTCTCGGCGCGGAATGCCGTCGCCATGTTTCTTCTGGTACCGCGACTCGGTCGCTGCCCGAATCCCCGAAGGCGATCGGCCCTTCGATCGGCGCCCTTGGGTGTTGGGTTTCCCTCGAGCTCGCGTTAAATCCTAGCGCCGCGGAATTCCCACGCGGAAACGCGGCCGCGCTCAAGCTAAGCGGCCCCTGCGGTCATCGGAGGCGGGAAACAAAGCCACCCGGGCCCCGGGACGGCTGCCGGGTAAACGGTCCTCCGCGAGAACGCGGAACGACGGAAACTGCCGTCTCTTTTTCCCGCCTCCTTAACGAGCGGCCTGCCCTCTTTCGGTTCGAGATCGGATTCTCGAAATAGTCCAACCGGATGTCGCGCGACCCGCTCGGATCTTCGGTTATTTGCTCGTTCCGGCGCTCCCACGTGCGGCCGTTCTCCGTCTCGGGTCCCTCGACATTGCCCGGGGGATCTTCCCGATCCCGGAGACCGGCCGTCGCCTATTCGCGACCTTCCCTCGGGACGTCCCGGACTTGGGACTCGCCCACGTCCCGCGGAACCGAATTCGAAAGACTCGTAGTAGAGACTCGAGCCAGGGTAAAAATTGGGCCGCGCAAAAATGGCGGGGCTGCGTTTCGAGGCTTCGGGATCGGGCTCGGCGATGGATTCCTCGTTTCGAGGACGGTATGCGATTGCCAATAGTTTTCCCGATCCCGAACCGATCGGGGCCAGGCGGCCAACTGCGCCGCGCGAGTCCGTCGATGGTTTCGCAATTTGCCTTACGATCGCCGCATTTTTATTGCCAAATCCCCGATCGGAATCCTCCCTCGCGTCGCCTCCTTCTCGGGGGAAAAATCCCGGCCGCGTCCCGCCAGGACGGAAATAGCGAGGTCCGATCGGCGATCGCTCCTCCGGAATCGCTCCTACTAGACCCTCCGATTCGGTAACGCCGACGCCTCGGGGTCGCGGATACGCTCCTGGCAGCAAATCATCGAGTCCGTGACGAGAATAAACGTCATTGCTCCTTTCTTTGTTCCGGCTAAGATTAGGACATTTGAGAGGGAAGGAAAAAGGAGTCGGGAACGTCCGACCCGAGCCGGGAATAGTGGCGATCGCCGATCGATTCCATCTCCCTCCCCGAGTGCCGATCGGCG